ACCATCACCCAGTGAACCAGCTACCAAAGTGTCTGCTCATCAGCCTTTGCCAGCGAGAGGCTTGGCAGATCAGGAAGCCAGGAATTCAGAACTTACTGATTCTGTGAAGGAGAATTTAGCACATGTTTTACACTTACATTTTTACCCTGGCATCAACTTCTGTAGACAGTCTGAGGCCTGTTTCTACCAAGGCATTCAACCATTTACACTGACAGACCAAACAGGGGTCAAAATAACTCTGACCTTCCTCAGCCAGGAGTAAACAAGGAGTGCAGCCAAAGTTAGCTAAAGAAAGCACTGTGTGTGTCTCAGTTTGACACAAAAAGCTATTTGATTCTTCACAATGTGTTGTTTATTATTCCATAGAACTGGGTGTTTTATTTACTTTTATTTCAAATGTACCACCCCTCTCTCAGTCGGTGCCCAGCCTGGGCACCCCATCCAACATTTTCTAGATCCACCCCTGCTCACAGCTCACTTTCTGTATAGGTAAGATGACAAAATCATCAAGTCTGCACACTCCAGTTGTGCTCACAAGATGTGAAGGTGCACAGCTAGGGTTACAAACTTTTTACAAACTTTTTTCTTATTTTTGTATTCCATTACAATGAGCAGTGAATATGTGCATGTCAACAATGTGTTTGTGCTTGTAGCAAGTTTTCTCTTAAAAATGCACCCCTTTGGACAAAAGAGATAGCTTCTGCTTACTGTGAGAAAGTGTTCCAAGCACTTGAATAACAAGACTTGACATGTCGAATGACAACCACAGAATACATTCACACACACTTATTATACTGCTATCGAGTGCCAGACACTAATGTCTGCTAAGATGTGGAATATGTCTTCCTCTCCCTTTATTTCTTGGAAGTTTTTAGTCATTTACCACTCAAACTGCAGGGACCACAAATATACCATTAATATCACTCACACACTCCCAAACAATAGCAGCTGCTTTTTTTTTTCTGTTATCCCTCCATGAGCTGTGGGTCTCTCGTATTTGTTTGCCATCGATCATAGCAGTGTGGCGTACACGCTGGAATGCAGCCGGTGGGGAGAGGCAGCATTTGCAATCAAACAGAGACGAGCAGTGTGAAATCTCAGGAAGAGGCAGCTTCCCCCATGCCCGTGGGCAGGGGATCAGACGATGAGGAAGCCTGCCTCAGACGCTCCACACCTCCCACTGGCACCATGATGCAAGCAGCATGCAAACCCACCCCTCACATGTATCTGTCAGTTGAGGAGGGTGGGTTAAGCTCTGTAACTGCACTGTGGAGTGTAAGTTATGCTGCTACATTGGAGGTGGTTTCAGAAGCATTGCTAAGGTTCACTGCGAGTTGCTGATGTGGTGCTGAAGGTGGTAGAAGTTGAAAATTACTGTTTTCAGAAGCATTGCTAAGATTCATTGCGAGTCTCTGATGTGGTACTGAAGGTGGTAGAAGTTGGAAATTACTGTTTTTTTCTCCTTTTTTCATGATATTGCTTTAAGAAAGCAGATGGGACTGACCCATTATAAAAGGAGAAAGCTGCGGGTGCATCTATCTCCTGGACTAGAGGAAAAGAATTCTGATGTGCAGAGAGGAAGAAATGTCATTGAGTCACTGCTCTTCAAAACCAAATCACAAGCTCCCTAAATCCAGTCAGCCTGTTCCAGTCACTGGCATAATAGTGCTGTGGTTTGCCCATCTGTTCTCCATTGTCCACCTTGGCTCTCCATCCATGACATACAAGACCATAAACTCTAAAGGGTTTGTTCCAGACTGTGAACAGATTTATTTCAGGTATTGGTGCAGCAGAAAACACGTTTGAGTGAGTGAGAAAATACCAATTTTCCCACTGTGCCTTTAGCTGCTCCTTCACCCAGCGGTTGACTCATTTGCTTTATCATGTCCACCAAATATCCAAAACAATGATCATTGCAGCCACGTGTGGGTGTGTGTTTGGATGCACAGAGCTGACAATACAGTATTCTGCAACACTGTAAGTGGGTACTACAGCTACAGATGGCTAATGGCCACAGCTAAAGGCTGACACAAAAGTATAATTATCAGTATTGATTTTTTTTTTTTTTTTGTAAAGATGGATTTGAGTGTGACAGAAAGGTCAGCCAAAGCAAATGTAAAACATTGTTTCCACTGACAGTACCCTATCATAGCGTGCTGTCATAACTACCTGATAACCAATTCATTATTATTACATGTTGAAAAGTATTGCGAGCTGACATGTGTGACTGGAAATTATATGCCATGTGGAACGCTAATGACAGCATGTAGCAACAATTACTCCAGCATGACAAGTTGCAGTTGAATTTACCCTCTTGTTCGTTAAATTGTCTGGTACAATAAGAACAGGCAATATGTTCAAGCTATTTTATAAATAAAACCATATTAATTTTAGACGAAACACTTCCAGACAAGGTAATGAGATAAGATGGCATTAAGAGCATCTGGGTTCTCACTTGATGACGTGCGATATGTGCTTTGGCACCGCTGGAAGAAAATGGCAAGCGAGACGATATATTTAGCTGTCGCTGCTGATTTTCTGGCCCTTGATGATGATGAGTATGGTTCAGAATGTGCTTTAATGCCCGTCTTTGGTGCATGGTAGAATTTTACATGGCTTCTTTTCTTTTAGTTGGCATTTGATTAAATAAATCCAAATTATATTTTCCGATCAAAGTCAGTTACCAAGCTCACTGTCAGTGAAGATAGGGCAAACACTGTTAACTTGTATGTCTTTTATCTCTGCTTTTGTGAAACTAAATTAGGCGAAACATGAATTATACAGGCAAATATGGACATCTGTGCCATTCTGTGGCTAACTGTGAGTTCTCTCTGCATGTATTCATACCAAATCCTATCACATGAACTCATAGAATGGTAATTTGTACTTCATAAAAAATGAAATATGCCCAATTGTGGTATGTGTAGTGTTTTAGAAAACTCACTTAAATGTACCCTTTTTCTCCATGCACTGACTTTTAGTTGTGGAGCAGTGCCAACTTTTACATGAGGCTGCTTGGTGTGGCGTAAACCTCCTGGAAGCTGTGGAGAGGTTTTAATCAAGTGTGAAATCCTTTTGGAGTAGATGGCTACATGACTGTGCTTGTGCGTAGAGGCATACACCTCAACCCTCTCCCCAGCTCTCTCTTCCCATGAACATGTTTTGTAGCAAGAGTCCATTTCACTGCAGTGATGCATACAGATGACGCTCTTAGTGGCACTGCAAAAAAAAAGAAACTCCAATGATTATGTATCAGGCAGTTTGCCTTGGTTGCCTGTCTTTCCTTAAAACTCCTAATTCAGTTTATTTTGTTCTAATCTAACATAAAAATGTAGTTCATTCATTTGAAAAGAGCTTTAGGTCATTGACACTGGCCTAGTAAATAGAAAGAAGACATTTTCACTTAAGCATAATGATATAATTAAGCATGAATAAGGCAGAGCATTGCTGAATTGTGGCATATTAAATAGCCTAAACATCTAGCTATTTAGGATTACAGGAACAATGGGATTTAACTGCAACAGTAGATCAAGCTCTGCATTTGTTTTGTCCAATTATTATTACTTTAATAAGCAAAAGGACAATTGTAAATGGATTACCCACTAGCAATGAATATTTTAGACGTAAATTAGGAGAATGAAATGAGAACAAATAACTTCCATTAATTTTTATTAAGCAGTTTCAAATCCTAAATCATGCCCAGCCAACACACAAGCTGTCTCACGTTGGCTTTTGATTGATTGAAGCCTTGGTGGGCCAGATGCAGTTTTTCCAGCCTCAGAGATCTGACATTTTGTGGAATAATTATCATTCCACTAATCATGAGTGCAATACTGATGGTATGTATCAGAATTATTGTCAAGCTGGCATTTTTTCTCATCATTCACATCCAGCATCTTGTTGCTTTCTGCTCATTGTGTGCAGCACTCAGCTCTCCACTTTCTCTAAGAATATTTTTTTTCTCTTTCACACACTGTCCAGCAAAGCATCCATGATGAACTTGTATGAACAGTGCAGGGGTTTTTACTGTAATGCATTTATCACTGCAATCAAAACTTTACATGCAGGTGACATCACAGACACGGATCTTGGTCGTCTGCTCCTCACTTCACAGACACTGAGTTTGCTGTTCTAGTCTGAGTCTTAAGGGATAACACAGATAAATGGAGTGGTATTTTCATTTAATCTGGGTTATATGTTTAGCTTGTTAACAGGTGGGCAGCTTAACAAGTCCACTGTCTGCCAGCCGCACGTTTTTGCAAACACATGGGTTCCTCAGTTCAGTTTTGTGATACTCTTGAGTGATGGTTGAAGCAAACATATTTTGGAGCTTTTACAGCTTGTATATTAAAATGAGGTCATTGGGTCATAGACCCATTTATTTAATTAGGAACAGCTGAATACAAATGGATGATAATCAAGGGCACAGAATTCATTTCAGCACTGTCAGTCAATAACTCATTCAACAGTGGCTTTGCCAAAAGGGATCCAGTCATTCACTTTTAACCAAACACTCTATCTATTGTATATGTGTTTGTAGTATTTTGTCCATTCTTGTAGTTTTTATTTCCTGTTGACACATATTTGGAGTACCAGCTTACAAATGGCATATAATAGAAATCAGTACATCACAGCACAGTGATGTATTATAAAATATACCAGACAAACTACTGTTGGACACTACTAAATGACACAGACACAGCACGTCAGCTCCTGAATGTATCACATCAGCTAGTGGACTACACACAGTAGCACTCATTACGCAGTGCATAGCAACAGCTACATAGCAACTGCTGCTGACTGCTTAGCAACAGCTGCAAAGATCTCAGAAAGGGGAGAGGGTTTCATGGGGTGTTTCAGATGACACCATTTCTGCTCACAAAACGTTGTTTTATGACCTTTATTTATTTTTTTTTTTTTCATTTGTCACTGTATTTCTCATATGTATCTCACTATGATGTTCTCTCTGATGGTGCTGTTTTTTTCTCTCCTGCCCACAGATATCCGCTCCCTCCCTGATGTGGCAATGACCGGAAACTGTACAACTGAGTGCAGTGAACTGGGCCACTCAGACGCCTGCTGGATGCCCGGGCATCCCTCCCCTGTACGCAAGACCAGGAACCTCCCGAAACTCTCCACCTTTGTGCCTTACCAGGAGAGAGGGAGCCTGGGACGCCTGGCAAATGGGAGTGCCAGGCTGGGTGGCGAGGAGCACCGGTCGCACCTTCCGCCCTCCCGTAGTGCCTATTCCAGCAGTGGTCACAATGCCAGTCAGGACTGCCCCTTAGAGGAGATGCCCCTGAGCGTAGCCTCTGAGTTCCCACCCACCTCCCCTTCTGCCCATACTCCAAAAAGAGAAATTTACCTGTGAGTTATCTGCACATATGAGGAAACAATACATCCACTTCAGAAGGAAAACAGGTCGTCCACACACTAAAGCCAGTGCCCATTATGTTGGTAAAACAGGCTGTGACTTACTCACTCATTGGCATGAACACTTGTTTTTGTCATTTCCTCCTTAAATTATTAATTTATTAGCATATTTATTACGGATTCCACAAAGTTAATTGATCCCTTGCTCATTTATTTGTACAAAATCTTGAAGGATACAGTTCAAACAAATCTAAAGGAAATATCAATGGCAATTGCTACTTTAGTAGTAAGTAAATATTGTTGTAGCCTCATTCTGTGAAGTGATCTCTTAAATTTGAAAGTTGTGATCAGTGCCATTATTAGATATAATTTAATATACAGCCACTAAGGACCCACAAAAAGGCATAACAGCTTTGAATAGCAATCAAATGAAACGGTCTATTTTAATGTACAGTGCTGTAAATACATTTGAATGGCGTGTTCTACATATATTTTTGTCTGGCATAAGCTGAAAAAAATTGCCTCAGAATTTTAGCACATTTAGGCTTTTCTTTGCTGCTGCTGTTTAAACTTGATTGAAACCATCTCAAGAAGTGAAGCTTGATGTTGTGGAAGGCATTTATCCCTCCCATGCAATCACACACACCTTTGACCCCTAATCATAGTAGAATGGCCTTTACCTCTGCTCCCTGTAGAGCACTGCCACTGGTGGAGAAACCTGTCTGGCAACATTTAAACTGACATTATGTTCCACTGACTCTCAGCACTGTGACCTATCGTTCATCATGAAAACGGTTGACTTGGCCACAGTACCCCGCAGTCACAATGACCGAACATGGTGTTCTCACATTCTGATTGGCTTATCTTATAAAACCACACCAGTGTATTAAACTCTCTTCTCTATCATGACAATCAGAGGGGGTCTACATGTAACTCACAGTCCTTCCCTCTAAAATTCAGTCCTTTTCCATTAAATTGAATAAAAACTGTGCATCTAATGAATGCATGAGGAGTTCGTTACATGAAAGAACACTTGACTGTTGCGCATCACAGGAGAGACAAAGTACTTTTGAAAGTTAATATGACACTGTAAACTAAATGAGTGCTCTACATTCACAGTGCTTTTGTTTTTCCAATTATGAACTCTCACTAGATATACACCATTCTTCTTCAGAGGTGAATTCAATACACATTATGCTGTGTGACAATGGAAATGACTGAACAGACGATGTGGACCTTGAAGTCTACTAAATAGATGGCACTGAAGAAACCTTCAGCATTACTGTCGATAGCATGAATGATTTAAAAAAAAAATATTTGTTTCAAGTCTCAGTAATGATTATGTGCAATTGCAGAAAATCACTGAGCCTAAATGTAGATTTAGATAATAGGAGTCAGGCTCAATTTACTCCAGCTCCTGTTAATTATGATTTTCCTTGTATTGAGGACAACATGTTTAATAAGTTATAAGGCATTTTTTCTTTCTCTGGCTATTGAACAGAGAATTTAAAAAAAGAGGACATGCCTGTGGGCTTCATTTATCTTGACAAAGACTTTCCAAGTGAATCTGAAAGATATGTCTGAAGGACACTATATATTAGTCAGTAATTGGCTGTGAATGATGACTACACTAGCCTGCCTTACAACATCGTGGAGCTGTCGAGTGGCTTTGATTTAAATATTGATTTGATTAGATTTGTAGATACCTTTCACCTCTGCAGAGTATTTCCATAGTGAGATTGTGTCTTTGAGTAACGGTGGAAGTGCCCAAAATGGACATTTCCTAATTAGGGTGAGTAATGAGTCCTGAGCTAGTATGTGTGAGCACACCCCCAGGACAAGGTGTCTACCAGATAATGCAAATCCACCTGCAGAGCTACAATCAGTTAAAAGTGGTATTTTTAGCAGCACTTACCGCATCATGCTGCCATTGAAAACTGCATTTACAATAATTAAACTGAAAACATATGGAAATTACTGGACATGGCCATGATTAAATAAGGTGGGCGATTAGCTTGCCTTGAGGGGGAGAAAGTGCATTATGCTGTTTTCAAAGCCATTTAGCAACTGAAATAAAATTAAAACAACAGCCATGATACCCTGTGATTAACCCCCCACCCCCCCAATCCCACTCAGAGTGGTGAATAGTTGCTCCACGAACTGAAAGTAGTGGTTAAGTTCACTGACCCGGAATTAAAGACAAGTGTGAATGATGGAAATGAGTGTTCAAAACAGTGTGACATAGCTTCAATCACAACTTTAAATTAATTGAAATGATTTGGTTTGGTTCTGATTCACAACTGCATGGCATCCAGATTTGTCTCTGGATTTAAATCTGAACTCGATTCCAGCCTAAGTACACTTGTCGCTTTTGAGAGCCTGTAATGTATCTTCAGATTTGTCTCTTTGAACACCACATCATAAAATAAATGGGGTTACTCTGAGCAAATAAGTCATTATCATCGGTTGTTGCTCCAAATGGATTGACAGGAGTTTGATTGAAGTCCTCTGTAAAACAGAAAGCCTGGGCCTATTTTACCCCTCTCTTGATGAGTCGGACTCTATCACTCCAGCCGATTATGACCTCCTGCTACTCACCCCAGAACAATATATCACCAGGTTTGACCTTTCTTTTGAACTCATGCTGAATGAACTGCGTTCACTTCTCTCTCAAACATGGAACAGCTCTCCTTGATTGAAGTCAGAGGACATCATGAAGCGCCTAAATACACTCAAAATATGTTGAATAATGTTTAATTTGTACTTAACATTGATTTAATGTTGAATTCACTTGAGTATCTTTTGCCTCTGTAGTGTGTATTGTATAGTGAACATTTCTGTGGACAGATGGACAAATTACTGTACTTCACAAAATTGGCAAGGATTTTTTTCTTACTGATCAAAGACTCTTAGCGAGCAGGTTGTGTGAAAAAAATAAAGAAATCTGTTGGTGGTTTAGTGTATGTATATAGATTTCCACACCCCTGTGTCTGCTGGCAAGCAGGTGATGATTTTAGCATGAATTCCAAAGATAATTGGTAGAAACTGTTTACTCCTTTTTTTTAATTTCGCTTTCTGAAATGTCAGAGATGGTTCATATTCTAAAGGCCCTCTCCCAAACGAACTGAAATTAACTCAACGTTTCTTCTTTTTTCACAGATCATATAGAACAGACAATTGCCTTGAAAATATGTCTTTGCAAGAGAGAATCTAGTTGTTATCCTAATTGTTGGTATATTTATATAGGATAAAATGCTTGTGATTGATGCCATGTTTTTGTACAGTTTTATGTACATACAAGTGAAGCTTTCTAAAAGTTCTGAGAAAACCCAATGGCATATAAAAATTGTACTGTGTTTTCTTGAGATGTGCACATCTTGCCTTGGTTGGATTGACCTTTGCTGAGTCAGTGTGAATGTGGCCGTTCTCTGCCTGCACTGTAGTCATTCACCGGCTCCCACCTCCTGAGGACTTATTCAGTTTTTATGTTTATTGTGAACAGTGGATTGTCTTATCTTACCAGTTTGTTAAACTCCTGTGTTCTGCTTTGTTCTGTTTTCGCATGTTGACAAATTCTCTTGTAATACTGTAAGTCCTCATGAACTTTGTAATAAAATCACTTCAGGGAAAAATGAATGCTGTCACTGTTTTCTGTTATTATTCATTGCATTTGAGTGTTAAACATGGGCTTTGTTGTCACATTTTTATAAGAGGCTTTGCAGCCTTGGAGCTACATTGTGTAAAATGAGCCTCACTTTAGGACCCAGGCTCATTAAGGAGAAGCAGCATTCTTGTCACGTGGGGACCAGTGCCTCATTTCTAAGTCAGGAAGCGCCAGAATGTTGAGAGGGAAGCAATTCAAGGATTGAAGTAGGAGAGTCCCAGGACCGGTGTTCTCCAGTTCAACTGGAAAAACAATGTGCCTCAAGTTCACAGCTCCAGTGATGCACTTAGCTTAATACAGACCATTTCTTTAAAACGATGATGAGCTGTCCATCGTTATACATTTAGCTTACAAGACCGCTGGTATGTGATGTTCATTTTTATTTCTCTATGTGCTTTTGCTTAAAGTGAGTTACTTTTTTTTCAGTGGACAGCAAGCTATGGTTAAAACATTCAGTAAACAGGAGACTCTTTCTATGTCTGTACATTCATGCTCTGTGCATTTCTGCTGTTTTTGATCATCAGCACATAATCTGTGAACTTAATTGACATCATTGTTTCAAAGATACCATATTATTAATTGTGTGTGAAATACAGCTACTGTATGTTGTATGTTAAGTGAAATTTTGGGCTGTTTCACAGCAGTATCACTAATTAGTAATCTAGTTGTACTGTATATTATTCTGAAACAAAAGGATGAGACAGCTCTCATTTTAGGTCACTTGGTGTATAAAAATGGCAAGAAAACCTTGATGTGCATGACATTATGAGTTTATTTACCTGAAGATGGTGTAAATATTGTAGAAATGTCATCATGTTAAAGCACTTGTGAGATTTTATACCATATCTAAACTAAGCAAATATGCAAAATACAAGCTGGACAGATATAATACTGTTGCTATTTTTTCTGAATATTCAGGCATAAAGTGTTTGTTTTATAGCCTAATTATATTATCATAGCAATGTAGCCAGTTAGCACAGTACTATCTGCCAATTAGCACAAAATGTAAAGTAGACCTGAAGTTGATGTGAAAGCCATGGACTTTGAAGGCCACAAACCAAAGTATTGGACAAACATATTTTGATTCAGTGATGGTGTTTAAATCAAAGCCAGGGGATCATCAAAGTTCACAAAAATACTGGATGTCTTAACCAAACTGTATCGTAATCTATTCAATACTTTTGAAGACGTTTCACAACCACAAATGTTGATCTGCTGGTAGTTCAGGAGGAAACGTGAGAGCATCAAGCACACAGTCAGTATGATTTATCCACTGGACGACATGAATGTGTAGGGGTCCTACAAATTTTGTTGCGCAAAGACTTTTATTAAACTTTTATTTTGAAATGGTTCATGGACATTGCGCTGTCTTCCGGTGGTGCAGTGTGTGTGAAAACACGGGCAGAGAGAGAAGGGAGGAAGAAGCTACGAAGAGCTTACGGAGAGCGGGCTAATTTCGGTAACTTTCGTGATTGTAACAAGTTATGAGTAGACCGATAACCCGCCTTAGAGTTGCATGACGCTGCTGCTAGGTCTCCGTTTGTGCTAACGAACGTGTCGTCTATAGGAAAGTGTAGAGTTTTGCCGCGCTAGCGCGTGTAAAGCTAGGCTGCAGGCCTGTGGTAGCTTATTAAGTTTCGGGAGTTAATTCTCTGTGTTTTTTTC